AAAGGTAAAAATGGAGCTGCACGGAGGAGAGAAACACTGACAAAAAAGTGACAGTCCCTGCCCAGTCAGCCAAGCACCACATGCACGAGCATCCCTGAGCCTGAGCCACAAGTTTCGCCTCCTCTCACCTCCCACTTCCACTGACTCCAAAGCAAACGTTATTTTTCATGCAGTGGCCAGAGAGAAGTGAATCTTCAGAGACAGAAGGACAGATGGCTTTCCTGGACCTTTTTGTTCCTGCTCTCATATACTCTGTGCCCTTCTCCCAGCCTTGTTTGAGACCTGCTGCGCTAGATATGCTCAGCGCTGGAGGACTTTGTCCATAACCGGGCACAGAGCCAGCCCAGTCACAGCAGCTCGGTCTCTTGCATCCAGATACAGTGAACAACCAGGAGCTGGCACAGTTGGGGAGTTCTGGAATTTATACAGGTATGTGCACGTAAACATAAAGGTCAAAATTGAGGGTCATTCCTAAGTTACTGATATTTAAACCAGTATTTTGTTAACAGAGGTGCTTCTGCAGTGATTCTGGTTAAGTATGAAGCAATGCAGAAATGTATAAATATAAACAAGGACAGGTCACTATTAGTCACAATCCTCCAAACAAATACAAAGCCTTGCAGCACATTTTGAAACAAAAAAACCTCACACATTTCTAAACTTCTGCAGCTTAGCATATCATAAATACAGGGGAGCAGTGAAAAAAAGAATGTGCTTGTTTTTTCTCCACATTAGAAAAAAAGCTTTACTCCATTTCCTCAAGATTTTTGTTTGTTTTGTTTTGTGCAGCAGCCTTAAGAACTTCTCAACATTTCAGTTGTTTGGTAATTTTGTCTTAATTTTATTTTGGCAATGAAATGTCAATACCAAGTATTGGAACTTCCAAGACATTGAACTGGGAGAAAATATCTTCAATTCAGCTCAGCTGAAGGAAAATTGACACACTAGTTCTTAGGCAAATATTACTGCATTATTCCCAACTACAAGGAACACCATTTTCAAAAGAAATTAGTTTTAATTTGGTTTGTTCATCTTAGCTGTCTGTCTAAACTACATGCAGAGGAAAAACCAACTCATGATTCATACTACGCACGTCTTACATGAACACATACATCAAAATTTCCATGTCATTCCAAATTGCCTCTGTTGTACCCTTTGATACGAATCTTCATATCTCTTAAGGTTAGTATTACAGTACTTATTCCATTGAGAGCAATGCTGAAAATGTATGCCAGATTTAATTCGAGGCAAACATACCTTTTTTCAGGGAAGTCAAGGTTGCATTGGATTTTCGATTCTTTACAATGCTACTTTAATTTTTTTACTTTTTTTTTTTTTTAAACATTCCAAATGGATGTTAAGGTTACAAATACTAAGTTAACAGAGGAAAAGGGTATGTATCTTAAAACAAGTTTATTTCACCTTTAATGTGTTTATATTTTAAACAGCCTTCCTCCCAAATATATGAAATTTCAGCAGATGAGTTGAGTAAAAAGCTCTTCCCACTGAAACGTATGAATTAAATTTCAATTATATGCACTGGCATTACTCTCACTTCATGCATTCATGGATGACATGCAATGTAACTAAAACTCCAAATTGTCCTATTCAGCCAATAAGTTTGTCATTTTTCAAAGGGAATCCACCTGCATAATCAATTACATTTTCCTGCACCCTACTTTAGCTGTAATAGAGGGTTATATCTGCATTTATTTAACTAGATTTCTAGCTACTGAGAGCTGAATGCAGATTTTTATCTTCCTAAAGAGGTCACAGATTAACTGTGTAGCGTGCTTACCCAACATTTTCCATTGCTTTTTCTTTAGTACTGAAAATGTTTCCAAGAAACACCGGGCAAAAGGCTATACTGTTTTTAAACCAATGCATCTTCCCTGACCTTGTCCCTTTTCTGCAACTGAAACTCTAAGCCTGGTACCTACAAGCAATTCACCTTACCCAGAGGTCATGCTCAGCGTAGTCAAAGAGAAGCCACACTTTCCTGTCAGCATGAGAAAGAAACACCTTTTGCAGAGAAATGACATTTGGATGCTTGAGCTCCCGCAGCAACTGCAAAATAAAGAAAGTCCACAACAGTTATATCCACACATCCAAAGCTGTGAAAGGGCTGGAAAGATGAATGCTTTAATAGTCTTTGCTACATATTCTACCATACAAACAAGAAAAGCTGAAATCTGCAAGTCACGGAAAACAGCACATATTTTTTTCATGAAAGAACCAGTCATTAGTTTGAAACCAAAGCTGAAAGCAGGTCGTAACCCCCTTAGGGCGTTCACTTCCTATTCATTTCCTAAAAGTTGAAGTCTGTGTAAGCCTCACTATTATCCAAGAAGACTCTGCAAACAGCCAGCTGTGGCACCTGCCCTTTCCCATAGGCTGTAATCTTTGACAGAGCCATTTGGGGTATCCAATTTTCTCCTGACTCCCAATTATCCGATAACCCTGCGTTTTGGTTGCAGCCGTTCAAGGCTGAATGGGATGACTCATTTAGAGCCTGTCAATGCAGTCGGCTAAATGAAGATGTGGTTTGTAAGATGGAGTCAGCTGATCGACAAGGTCACCACCACCTACAGAAGAAGGTCCGACTCCCTCCCACAGTGTGTATTACACCAGTTTTGTCACTCACAGAAGCCATCCACGAAACAGCTCCCAGTTCAGGAGAAAACTAACCGAGACACACAAAGGCATTAATTTTCTGCCGAGTTCCTGAGCTGAAATGACTCACGGCACTAACAGCAGACCCAGCACTAGCGAAGGCACACAGCTAGGAGCAAGAACCTCTTTCAGCAGCAGTGAGCCATTAAACCAGCTCAGCTGCTTTAGAAACTATAGCTTTAACCACCACCAAAAGGAAAACGTAGCCGAGATATAGCACAAAAACTGAATACAGACAGCATCAGCCTATTTGAGCTCTACTGGTCATGTTACAATTATACTGTACTCACACAATTGCTAAGAAACAAAAACTTTATCGAAGCAAATTATTGTCAAGTGTGGCTACCCGAGACTAGATGAACTCTTGCCAGCTCAGTCTGCCAGAAATGATGACATTTTTAGTAAAATGAATGGCTAGGTTTGTTTTTTTTTTTTAAAGCCAAGGACAATTTGAACTACTATTTGAATACAGAACAGAAAATTAACATTTCATGTCTGAGATTGAATCTATTTTCAATAAAATACAATTTTCCCCGCTATGTAATATAGGAAACGAAAATTCATTCCTTTCTACTGAAACTTTTGTCACATGTGGTAACATTTTAGCTGCTACTGAGACAGTAAAATGGGAGTGGATATCTGCATATGTTTGTTTCCTTCTTTTCTATTTCATTTGAGACAGACTCTTACCCCTACTCACTGACCAGAGTCTTCAGCATGGCATTTCTTGAGCATGAGGAGCTAGCCCACAGAGCTTTTATCTCAAGTATGAGATCAAACAGGGAGACGGAGGGTTGAGGAGACAATGCAACATTACAAATCAATGCAGAAGGTAGTAGTTTCAGCATGTTAAACCTCTTAATCTTAAGATTTGTAAAAGCATTACATAGAGGAATTTTAAGGCAGGATCTGCAAGAAGCGTGGAATTCTGTAAATGCCTATAATTCCTACACAAAGCGTAAGATCAGCATGGGGAAAACCAAGAAATGCTTATTTGTAGTTTTTTTATCAATTACAGGTGGGGACCATCTGTGGTAGGTTGACCCCAGCCAGCAGCTAAACCCCACAGAACCACTTGCTCACCCCCCTCAGTCAGATGGGAGAGGGAGGGCAAAAAAAGCAAGAATATTTGTGGGTGAGGATAAGACTTTAGTAAGTGAAGGAAAGAGGAATAAAAAAAAAAACAACCCCCAAGCAATGCAAAGGCAATCACTCACCACTTCCCACAAGCAGACCGATGCCCAGCCAGTCTCCGAGCAAAGGCTACCTCCCCAAAGGGAGGAGGGGCAGAGTGGGAAAGAGAGAAAGCCTGGACACTGTGCAAGCACTGCTCAGCAATAGCCAAAACACTGGTGGGTTATCAACACTGCTTTAGTTGCAAATCCAAAATACAACACTGTGTGGGCTGCTATGGAGGAGAAGCACTGCATCCCAGCCAGAACCAGCACAGCATCAAAGACCATCGGTGGGAATCAGCCTCTTCACAGCAAATGAGGTTATACGGTTTAAGGATACATTGCGCCAGCCCTTATAGTGAAGGACTTTTTGGTGAATCAGTATAAATTCACAGCTTAATTCATCAAAATGTTTAGCATAAATTTAACTTGTGGCAGGTGCACCCGCCCTGACAAAGACTGGGGGCATTAAGACCACTGTGTCCTTACTTTTCACGCCCTTACTTTCGCACCTTTACAGTGGTGAATGCGGACCATCACGTACACACTTTGGGCCAGTAATTATGGTCACATATACACCTCCAGCAAGGGGTAAGAAAATTAATGCCCTCAGTCAATTAGAACTGACCACAAATCAGATTCGACCAGGGTATAAATGGAGGCCCACTGGAGGGCAAGTTGAGCCGGTCCTCCTCGGAGCAGCAGGCCTGCAGTCGGGGACCCTCCCCTTGGGTCAGGACGCTGCCCAAGGAAACTCCGAGGTTGAGAGCCCTCATCTTACAGGTGAGTGATTGTGCACATTTTGGATACTCATTTCTAAAGCCAACTGTGCAGTATTAATTCCTCCTACACTGTCCTGAACCTGTGGTTTACTGATGTTGTCACAGCGCTGAACAATTTTGATAAGCCTCATTTCTAGTTAGTTTTCTGCTAAACAATTTTGGTTTAAATAAAGTTTATCTTGGAATCGATCACCTGCCCAATTTGATTTCATGAGCCTCCATGACATAACTGTACCCAGGAGATTGCATGACAGTTCAGCAGCTATGTGTCCATACCAAAATTTTATCAGATGTCCTGTGGCCAGATGACACACCTGTACCAGACAAGAGACTATTCCTCGATGAGAAGAGGCAGATACTAGTCAGGGCTCTAGAAAATAATGTAATTTTCCTCTTCACCCCCTTCCTGTCCCATTTTAAGTCCATCCTAACTCCTTGTTCCCCAGGTAGCAGCTATCACCCACTTTAAAAACCCAACCTTTTCACATCAAATGTGATCCACCTTGGAGGACACACAGAGAACCCATCACCAAAGCTGGTCCAGAACATGACACGATGAGAAACTTCGAGTAATGCAGCAAAAGGGTTCCCTGTCTGTGTAGTAATGCAACATGGACATAATTCTCCTTTGCTTGTGCTAGGGGTAGTCAATCCTGTGGACTTTGAGCTTCACAGCATTCCTCCTGGTCTTCTAGACAACAGGCTGCTGCTCTTCCCTGTTTCCAAATCCTGCCAGTAGCAAGGTACAAGTAATTGAGCATGCATTCTTATAGGCACACACTAAGTTGTGTCCACACACAACAGAGACATGACCAGCCACATTGGTAACAACAGAGGCAGAACCGCATCTTCTTTGCGGGCATCCACATTAAAACAACACAACTGGCCTGGATCCCATTTCTCCACTCTGGCTAATCAGGCTTAAAGTTCACATACATGCACAGGTCCCTCAGACTCCAGTGCAGACCTTAAATCTGCTCAGAATCCAAGCTCAGGCACCGTGGCCTTTCATCCAGGTTCCAGCTCCGACGTTGGGTCTCTCCCCATTTTCAGTCTCCTCCTGCTTGCCAGTTCTGCATGCTTGAAGTTCACTAGCAGATCACACACACGAACACTCACACAGCTCTCCCTGATGGCTCATCTCCTTCCCTTTTTCCCTACCTTTTATCCTTCCTCTAAACATCCCACAGTAAGTTTTACACAGTCCCAGCAGCCCCCTCAAATACCCAATAAAATCTCTATCCCCCGTAAGATCCATAGCAATCTGCTTTCCCTTCTCATCTGTTACAAAGCCCTGGTTGAATCTCTTCAAGGATACACCCAAGAGATTCCTTTTGCGGCCCATGACTAGCGTCATAAGAGTTCTGTCCTTCGTTACTGTCTCTGATAGCAGCTGTTAATGGTTTGTGCATCTGTGTGCTCAGTTTATCGTTCTTGCTGGTTTTTGCCTTTGCCTTTTACGCTGAATAGCCTAACTACATATTCTTTCAGGCTACTTAAAAAAACTGATGGGTTTGGTCACAGCTAGACAGCCATAAGCACTCCAGTGAATAGGATGGCTAATATACATCAGCAAAACCATCAGAACAAGGAAACGATTGCTGCAGTGGTGACAGATGATCCCTGAATCACTGTCTTGGAAAGGCTGAAACGCTCCAGGGCAGTGATAACGCAGAGTGACAAATGCAAACACTGTCTGAAGGACAGGAAAAGCTCATGCAGATGGTAACACATCACATGGGCTGTAAACAGCATTTCCAGCAACCTCACTCTCCGTGAACCAGGCCTCTCTAGCCCATATGCCACATGCCTTTCCTACCAGATGACTCGCCTTGTGTCCAGCAGCTGACAGAGTTCACTGAAGACAAAGTAGACTGCAAGAAACACCGTTTGACTATCAGTATGATGCCTGCTAATGATAAAGGCCACTTTTTGGCCCAATGATTCCGATATCTAATTACTTCTGTGTATCCTAGTTCAGTTCTATAGAACACAAAGAGAAAGCAGACAAAAACTATGCGTTTGGCTCTCAGTAAATTACCTTCGTTTGCATATCACATGATGATTCAAATCCATTTCTACAACCAAAAAGGTTTCCCTTAAATTAGTTGGTCTGAGTGCCCCTTATAAAGAAGGAAGACCCAACCGACCTTCAAAGAAATAGAAATCAGCAAATTATGAAGATGCTGATACATCTGGTTTGACTTGAGTGTTACAACCTCATGTTGTCCCTGGCTGGTCTTGCCCTTGCTTTCATAAATACTGTTCAAGAAACAGCAAGGGAAACAGCATCCCTACGTGCAAGTCCTGGGCTCACACTAAGGTTTCTCCATCTCCCTCTTGAAATGCAGAAATACTCATTCCACAGCCATGGGGCAGCTGCAGAACAGTAAATGGAAGTGTCCTAACAATGCATAAAATTGTTAAATTGCTTCAC